TAGGATCCCAGGAGTAGCTCACTGAAAGAACTCACATGGTGCCTTGCAGCGTAATCTTGGGGAAATGCCAAAAGCTTCATGATGTCATCTGGGAAGTAGAAAAGTAATCTATCTAAGCCAGTGCTTTCCCTAAACAGGAGTAGAGTGGGGGGAAATCATCTCAGGCCTTACCTTATCTTCTTCCATGAAGTACATACACAGAAAAGTACACAGATCATAAGTGTACCACCTGCTGCATCAGGACACTCACGCAACCAGTATGCAGGTTCAGAAACTCCCTCAGGTGTGCCCCTCGCGCTTCCTTTCAGTCACTCCTACCCCAGCAGGAACCACTATCCTGACTTTTTTTTTTTTTTTTTGAGACAGTCTGTCACCCAGGCTGGAGTGCAATGGCGCAGTCTTGACTCATTGCAACCTCCACCTCCTGGGTTCAAGTTATTCTCCTGCCTCAGCCTCCCAAAGTAGCTAGTATAACAGGCATGTGCCACCATGCCTGCCTAATTTTTTGTATTTTTAGTGGAGACGGAGTTTCACCATGTTGGCCAGGCTGGTCTTGAACTCCTAACCTCAAGTAATCTACCCATCTTGGCCTCCCAGAGTACTGGGATTACAGGTGTGAGCCACTGCGCCTGGGTTTTTGGGTTTTTTTGTCTTGTTTTGTTTTTTTTTGAGACGGAGTTTCACTCTGGTTGCCCAGGCTGGAGTGCAGTGGTGCGATCTCAGCTCACTGCAACCTCTACCTCCTGGGTTCAAGCGATTCTCGTGCCTCAGCCTCCCGAGTAGCTGGGATTACAGGTGCACAACACCACACCTGGCTAATTTTTGTATTTTTAGTAGAGACGGGGTTTTGCCATGTTGGCCAGGCTGGTCTCAAACTCCCGGCCTCAAGTGATCCACCAACCTCGGCCTCCCAAAGTGCTGGGATTACAGGCGTGAGCCACCACTCCTGGCCACTCTCCTGACTTCTAACCAGTAGATTGGTTTTGTCTGTTTGGCACTTTCTGTAAATGGGATCATATGGCATGTATGCCTGCAGGCATGCACACAGATATCAATGTACAAACTCTTTTGAATCTGCCTTCTTATGTTTGTGACATTCATCCATATTGTTATATGTAGTTACAGATCATTCATTCTTGTTGCTGTAACGGAATTTATTTGGTGATTCCTTTCTACTGTTGGGCATTTGAGTGCTTTCTAATGTTGCCAGTTATGAGTAGTGTTACTAGATCATCCTAGTATGTGGCTTTTGGTGCATGTATGCATGTATTTCTGTTGGTTATGCCTAGGAGGGGAATTAATGGTTCATATAGCCTGCACATTTCTGATTTAGCAGACATTTTGGGCCTTATCTCTGATAGATGCAAACTTACCATCTGCCCGGAGTACCCAGCTTACATTCATCAAAATTGAATAGTCCCCTGTTGCAACACTAGTTTTAACAGGTTCTACTCGGAGGTCCCTCAAGTCTCCAGGGGTTAGATCATGTTGTAGCATCCACTCTGGAGACGGCCCTGGGAAAAGGCAAGACTTCCATGACACTCTCCTTCCCGGCCCAATCTGATGCCATGCCATCTCCTCTCAGTGACTCACCCCAAACCTTCCCCCATTCACAATTCCTCACTTCTTTTTTTTTTTTTAATTAAAAAAATTGTTTTTTTGTAGAGGTGGGGTCTCACTCTGTTGCCTAAAATGATCTCAAACTCCTGGCCTCAAATGATCCTCCCGCCTCAGCCTCCCAAAGTGCTGGGATTATAGGTATAAGCCACCACGCCTGACACAATTCCTCAGTTCTTCCTGCTAAGGCCAAATGTTTCTTAGTGCTGGTTGATTTATAGCTGAGATAATGTTGCTCTAAGTACTCTCAGCCTCCTGGCCTCCACCTATGGAGCACTTGGGACCACTCCAGGTGCCTGTGTACGTACATATGTATATATTTAGTGTATTTGACATGTTTATTAGAGTCAGCCCTGCCTTCCTCAGGCCTCGCCCCTGGATTCCAGGCAGTTGGCCCACACAACCCCCACTTTCCCACCTCCTAACCTTTGCTGGTGCCATCTCTCCTCCAGCTCACTCTCTCCACTCACATTTTTTGGGCAGAAGCCTACCCATTCTTCAAATGTCACTATCTCAAACCCCCGCTCTCCTATGAAACATTTGCTTCTTGGTCCCAACTCTAAGTGACATGCCTTTCACGCCCTCGATCTTCCTCTGTAGAGTGGCAGGCATCACTTTCCACCTTATATGGCAAGTCCTACCCTGACTGGCCAGGAGGCGAGCCTGTCTGAAACACGTCTTCATTCCCACGGAGCCCCAGAGTTCTGCATTGAGCAGACAGAGACTTCGTCTGCAACAGCCAATAAAGCAATGGTTCACCCTGTGCCTAGTCTTCAATGACCTATTGCCTATATTAGGCCTCCTAAAAGTCCAGCTGTGCTTACAATGGAAAGCCCCAAATACCCATTCTCTAATATACCTACCAGTTTCAGAGCCACACTGAACGGTCTGTGGGAGAGAAGAAAACCAAGCGTCATGTTGAAGCCGGCAAACCACAAGCTCTCCTTTGCCAAATTAGGTAGAACACCATTTTCCCCTTACATGCATATACAAGTGACAAACTTTCAATAAAAGATGAACTGGTTCTGCTTCACAGCTTAGGGGAAACTAAGCTGCGCCACTGTAGGCTATGATGGGCCATGGATTAGCCATCAGTATACCTGATCCCCAAGCCAGTGCATAACCTCACCTGAAGACCAGAGGTGGGTCTCCATCCATCTCTGGATGTCAGCCTTCCCTGCTGCAAGCAGGGGATGACTTGGGACCGATGTGAGGCCCCTTCACACTCTAATGTTTAACTCTAGGATTTTAGGATGGACTGGAGTATTTACTGGGCTACCCCAGGTTAAGGAGTAGCTATGCTAAGGAGATGAACAAAAGCAAGCTCTGAATGCAGTCCAGGGTACTTTCCTCAGGTTCTTTAAAATATTCCCCTTCTAACACAAAAGGACTCACTGAGCAATTAAAGAAACCATAAGCAATTATTTGTGTTCAAGAAAGGCTGGTACTAAATCGTTTGAAGTTAGCTGCTCATGTTTTTTCATAAGAAAAAATAATTTGTGCTTTGGCTCTGGAATAAATTACTCAACCTAAAATACTGAGGCTTTAGCCAGCAGCAAGCTCAAATGACAAGACTCATTGTGATATGTCCAGCAGCTCTGGAACACCCTGCGGAGCATCTACATTTCCAAACACCTTCTAAGACCTCCTAAGACTTTTGATGGTTTGAGTGACTTGAGTTTGGGCAAAATTGTCAATCATTTATTCATCTTTAAAAAAATGAACTCTAAGGGATATCATCAGATTTTTTTTTTCTTTTTTTGAGACAGAGTCTCACTTTGTCGCCCAGGCTGGAGTGCAGTGGCACAGATCTCAGCTCACTGCAACCTCCAGCTCCCAGGTTCAAGTGATTCTCCTGCCTTAGCCTCCTGAGTAGCTGGGATTACAGATGCCTGCCACCATGCCCAGCTATTTTTTGTATTTCTAGTAGAGACAGAGTTTCACCATGTTAGCCAGGCTGGTCCTGAACTCCTGACCTCAGGCAATCCAGCTGCCTCAGCCCCCCAAAGTGCTGGGATTACAGGCGTGAGCCACTGCACCCGGCCAGATTTTATTATTATTATTATTATTATTTTAAACAAATAAGCCATCATACCAGGAGCTGAGTTCTTATCAAAGGGCCGGTGAGACCAGCCAAGCAACAACCCTAAATGCTACCAAGCTCAAATAGTTGGCCTTGTAGCAACTACAGCAAAAGGGATGAATTCTTCCCTGCAGTGCAAAAAGTCAAGGGGGCTTCTGAAGTGACACAGAGGGGAAGGACAGGAGCTGGAGACATCAGGAAACGGTGAATGGGGTTTGTCCACCAGCAGGTGACTACGGAGCTTGATGCTATATGCTATTCTAAGAGGGCAGGGGTATCATTTCAAAGGTTATTTGGGGGATGAACTGTTTTCTCTTCAGTGACCCAGAAGATTCCCTCGATCATTCAGGGCACTGGGGAAGAAAGGAAACTGTCTTCACGAATGAACATGGCAATCAATATGGCCAAAAAGGGAGGGGGTGCTAATGGAGAAACAGTTCTTGTGCCCCAACAGGTGAGCAGACCCCAAGTAACAATAACGAGTGCTGACTACGTGCCAGGCCCTTCGCCGCTAATTGCAGGCCATGTCGTTATTCCTTAAGAGACCCTGGTGGGTTCGGTACTGCCCTTCGTTTTACCGTTCAGGACTTGGAGTTTGGTGAGCAGAAATGACAGAACCAACAGTACAGGGGGCATCTGAGACCGGGTCTGTCTGATTCCCACTCCCCTGACTCAAGCAGCCTGACGCCGATGTCCGGGGCTGCCCCCGAGGGTGCAGGCATGTCCCTCGAGCCGGCGGTCCGCGCACGCCTTCGGGACAGCCTGGAGTGGCGGGTCAGACGACGTCAGGATCTAGGCTCGAGTGCCGGGAGATGGGGTAAGGGATGCTGGAGGCGGCTTACCGGCTCTCGGGGTACGGCGCTCCTGCACAGCGCGGCCAGGGTCAGCAGCACGAGCGACATCGCCGGACCACTGCGCTGGATCCAGGCTACCCGCACGCTGCGCTCTTATCCCGGCGCTCCGGGGCCGCCCCTTCTCGGCTCCGCCTCTTGCAGCGCGGACCCAGTCCCGCCACCCTGACAGAGGGCGGGCCCGCTGGCCCCCTCCCAGGCTGGGGCAGGTCGCAGCGCCCTCGCCTGCCGGGACTCGGAGGAATGGGCCGAGTCCGAGCGCAGGCGGAGCACCGGCAGCCGCGGCGCGCGGCGGCCCCCGCGCACACGTGCGTGCAGTAAGCCAGGTGCCCCTGCTGCACCCGCCCTCGGGCTGCGCGCCCCCCCGCAGGAGCCCCAGCTAGCCTCGCCGCCCTGGGGCCGACCTGGTCGGAACGGCCGCGTGCCCCTTCCGGACAAGGAGAGCGCGCGGGGCCCCGGCGCCGCCGGTTAAAGTGCCGCGGGACAGGGGCCGGGCTGCGGCCACCCGCTCCTCCCGCTCTGGCCTCGACTGTCGGGCCCTCGGCCGAGTCGCCCCGGGTGAGTAGCCGCGGACGCGCCCCGACGACCCCACAGCAGCGCCGCCGGGCCGGGAGCCCGGAGAGGCCTGGGGGCCGGAGGTTTGGGGCCGGGCTGGACGCCGAGACCCGGGCCCGCTTTACACAATCGCCCCGCCCCGCGAAGCGAAATGGGTGGAATGCGGACTGCCGGAGCTCACTGACTCCTTTGAGGGAGCAAGTTCTTTCAGCTACGCGGTGTGAGAGCGGTAGGAGTGCCCGCTGCCCGACCCCAGGCTTTCTGGTAAAGGTCTGTTTCCACCAAGTGAGTTCGGACAGCAGCACCTGGGGCTCCCAAAGCGGAAGCCGTCAGCACTGGCGATTTGGAGCTGCGCTTCTCAAATTTCCCTGGCCCGGGATCTTTGGAGCACCGCCTAAAATGAGATCCAGACGGCAGGTCCGGGTCAGGCCCGGGATCTGCATTTAACGAGCCTCCACCCACGCCCCCGTAATTCGTGGGTGGGTGGCCCAGGGACCATCCTTTGAGACACAGTGTTTGGGGGAAAGTTCACAAAGATCAGCTGGGCTAACAGTGGAGCCACAGAGGCTGGAACTGCTGCTTCAGCCTCCTCGGTTTGCAAACGGACAGGGTTGTGGTGACCAACTCAGGGCCATTTAAACTTGTAAGCAGAATTAGTTCCATTCTACAAATGAGAAGACGGAGTCCTAGAGAGGGGTATGGAACTTAGGGATGTGTTGTCAGCTGGTGAGAGGTTGTACTGAGTCAAGCAGCTGTTTTAGCTGAGGCCCTACTTGTGTGCCAGGCCTGGCCCCCCTGCCAGCTGGGTTAGGGCTTGCATGGACTGGGGATCAGCCAGAGGTTTGGGCTCTGGCATGCATACGTGTGGAGTTGCAGGTAGCATTTTCAGAGAATTGCTCCGGTTCCTGACCAAGGAACTCAGTTGAGGTTGTGGCCGCACCCCTGCCTGGGGCTGGGCCACCCTGAGCCCCTCATTCCACCTCTCTGAGTTGCTTTGGGCCCTGTGGCCCCTGAGAACATTTTCAGCTCTCATAGTCATCTTCCTGTTCAGCAAATACGTGCTGGGTGCAAAGGTGCACGACACATGGGTGCTGGCTGATGGGTACTCCTGGAGTGAGGATGAGTGCAGTGAGAAGTATTTTCAAGGACACAAGTGCCCGCCCTGCTGCGGAAGCTCAGCTGAAAACAGCCTGGTCTGCAAGCTCACGATTGTGAACTTTGGCCGGGCGCGGTGGCTCAAGCCTGTAATCCCAGCACTTTGGGAGGCCGAGACGGGCGGATCACGAGGTCAGGAGATCCAGACCATTCCGGCTAACACGGTGAAACCCCGTCTCTACTAAAAACTACAGAAAACTAGCCGGGCGAGGTGGGCGGGCGCCTGTAGTCCCAGCTACTCGGGAGGCTGAGGTAGGAGAATGGCGTAAACCTGGGAGGCGGAGCTTGCAGTGAGCTGAGATCCGACCACTGCACTCCAGCCTGGGCCACAGAGCGAGACTCCGTCTCAAAAAAAAAAAAAAAAAAAAGATTGTGAACTTTGTCCCATGGTGCTGAGGAATAATGGTACAGGCTTAGATGGTCATCAATTTTCAGTTTTACAAAGGCCACCTGGGTGGCTCTGCAGGGCAAGTAGAGGCTCGTCCCTCTGAGACAAAGGAGCAGGCAGCCGTTCACTAACATGCGTTCATTCCGTATCTGATTCTGTACTGTGGGCCAGGCTCTGGGCTGTGCTGGCTTTTCAGCTGTGTGCCAGGGCAGGCCCTGCTGTGGTGAGCTTGGTGTTGTTTGGCACACGGGCTTTGAGACAACCAGGGGTGCAGAGGTTAGGCCTGGAGACAGGGTTTCGTCAGTCAGACTTTCTCAGGGGGCCAGTGGAGAGGAGAGGAGGATAGAGCCCTGGGGAGGAGGGCTTGCCGGAGGAGGTGGGGAGGTCTAGGAGGGGCTGCAGCAGGAATGCCCAGTAGTGAGGGAGGAGCTCATGGGGTCAGATGGGGCAGAGAGACCAAGGGCACTGAGGCTGGTTGGTGGCAGTCACAGGTAGCCTTGGCAAGAGGAAAGGGGAGGTGGTTTTGTAAAAGAGAAGGGCCGAGGTTCTTTCTCCAGGGGAAGAAGTGTCAGGTGAGGGTGGTCTGGAGGTGGCTGAGCTGTGAGTAAGAAGGAGGAGTACCCAGGCAGGGGCTGCCAGGCAGACCCAAGACACAGCCCAAATGGCTTTTCCTGCTGTCCTGGGTTCAGGATGACACTGCCCTGGCCTCCTGGGGCTTAGGGATGGGGTGCAACCTGGTTCAGTTCCATAGTTGGGGCTGTGGAGTGGAGGAGAGGGTGTGACAGGCCCTGCAGCCACAACTGGAGGTTGAGGTGGGCAAACAGGGTGTGTCTGCCTGTCCCCTGGGGGGGTTCCCCGCCCCCTGCCCTGCTGGCTCAGAAGGCCATGCCTCAAGTAGTCCTGCATGAGAGGTCCCAGGTGGTCTGCTGGAAGGGACACATTTATTTGGGTGCCTAAGCCTGATAACTTTGTGGCTTTTGAACTAGAGCTCTGGCAGTCACTGCTCTTCTCAGAGTAGTTTCCTTTTCTGTAATAATGGGGTGGTGATAGGAGCGATGAAGTGATTTGAGTCTATGAGAGAAGCGACCTTTGGAGATTTTCTGACCTTCTCCCTTCAGTCATAAATTCTGCTAGGTCTGGGTTTCTGAAAGAGTGACCAGACAGTGTGCCTTCTTGTGCGGGGAGGGGGGGGGGACGGGGGGGGGGCGGGGAAGGGAGGCTTTCTAGGTGCTCATTAAATGCTTGAATGGATGAATAAATTAACACCTACCTTCCTCCAAGGCCAGTGCCTGTGACTGCCCACCCAGGGGAGCTGGTTTGAACTTCCTCCTCTTGCTTCACAGGCAGAGCAAAGGTCAGGGCCTCTGCCAGAGCCTGGAAGATCACTGGGTCAAGTACCCATGGCCCTGACCCAGACCCTAGGGACAGGCTCTGTGCAGCCACGGTGTAGTGAGATGCCTGGCTTCCAGACCACCTGGTTCTGTGACTCATTCACCATCTGTTGGCCTTGAGTGAGGCTCTTGGTCTTTGGAACCCTCAGTTTCTCCATCTGTAACATGAGACTGACATCAGTTCTGCCTCCCCAGCAGGGCTGTTAGGAGACACAGAAGAAACAGCAAATAGGAAAGCAAGTTGAAGGATTTAAGAGTGCTGTGTAAATTGGCCGGGCGCGGTGGCTCAAGCCTGTAATCCCAGCACTTTGGGAGGCCGAGACGGGCGGATCACGAGGTCGAGAGATCGAGACCATCCTGGCTAACACGGTGAAACCCCGTCTCTACTAAAAAAATACAAAAAACTAGCCGGGCGAGGTGGTGGGCGCCTGTAGTCCCAGCTACTCGGGAGGCTGAGGCAGGAGAATGGCGTGAACACGGGAGGCGGAGCTTGCAGTGAGCTGAGATCCGGCCACTGCACTCCAGCCTGGGCGACAGAGCGAGACTCCGTCTCAAAAAAAAAAAAAAAAAAAAAAAAAAAAGAGTGCTGTGTAAATTTAGGGGCAGGAGAGGCAGAACCAAAAAAAAAAAAAAAAAAAGGAAAATTCCCTAGGACCCAAGAATCACGGTAATCCCCAGATTCTGTCATTGTTATTCAGACCTTTGCTTCTTTGCCTGATCCATCCTGGGGAGAACAAGGCCATCAGGGTTGTTGACATGTCCCACGGGTCCAGCTTCCACCCACACAGGTGGAATTTTCCACTTCATTCTTTTGCAAATATTAATCAAAGCCCTGGCTGGTCAACAGTGGATTCATTGTCTCGTGAAGAGTGAGCCGTTTCTGGCACATACTGGCTGTCTCCAGGGACTCTGGTGGTGAGCCTGAGCTGGGAGAGGAGCTGTTAGGAGCACTCCTGGCATCGGTCTCCCTCAACCCCATTTCTGCTCCAGGTGGTTAAGCCTTGGTCAACTTTAATGCCTGCTTTGAGGGAAAGACCCTGAAGCCACACGGAGGGCATGCCACCCCACTGTTCCCAGCAGGGCTACCAAACTGCATTTTCTCTGCTGTAGTAGGAGGGGCTGACCCAGAAAAGCCCACAGACTCAGGCCAGGTGTTAACTCAGCTTTAATCCCACTCGTCCTGGTTCCTAGGAGAAACCCCTTGAAGTCACATACATGTGTTCTGTTCATGGCTGTGGTCCCTATGCCTTGTCTCCTGGGTACTTGCATTGATTTTCACATTGTTGTTATCACACTGGGGTCTCAAAGAAAGCCTGGAATGCAGAGGAGGCAGGAACTGTTGTTCTCTCACAGCTCCATCTGTAAACAGGGGTGATGAAGTTAGCCTCACAGGGCTGCAGGGAGGACCACCCTATCAACCTACGTTGGGCCCTATGTTGGGCACATGCAACAGGATTGATGGTATATTTTTTGATCCATGATACTTGAATGTATTTGTTATTAATAATATTACTGGTCATAGGTATACATCACATTCCACACTTTATGGAGGAAGAAACAAGATGAGTGAGGCTATGTAAGAAGAAGGAGGATGAAACTCAGGCCATGCTGTGAATATGATAAAATCACTAGGTGGTTTGGTTTTAGCTTTGTGCTTTGTTTTTCTTTTCTTTCCTTTTTTTTTTTTTTTTTTTTTGAGACAGAGTGTTGTTCTGTTGCCAAGGCCAGAGTGCAGTGGTGCAATCATAGCTCACTGGGTTCAAGCAATCCTCCTGCCTCAGCCTCCCAGGTAGCTGGGACTACAGGTGCACATCAGCACACCACCATGCCTGACTTTTTCTTTCTTTTTTTATTTTTATTGTTTAGAAATGGGGTCTTGCCATGTTACCGAGGGCTGATATTGAACTTCTGGCCTCAAGCAATCCTCCTGCCTTGGCCTCCCAAAGTGCTAGGATTACAGGCATGAGTCACTGCACCTGGTCCTTTAATTCTTTGAAATGTATTTTTAGCTCTTGGCCCTCAACAAAACCTATGAAATGAGTGGTTGCGTTTTCATTTCATAGATGAGGAAACTAAGGCCCGTGGATGCTAACCACGAGTGAGCAGAGTGGAGACTGCAACCTAGGGGATCTTGACTACCAGCCACTTTCAATTCTCTTCAATGTAGTAAAACTTGAACATGGAACACCAATGCATGAAACTGACACAGGTGACATTGCATATTCATGTGAGTTTAGTTTGTTTATTCATTCATTTATTTATTATTTATTTTTGAGACAGAGTTTCGCTCCTGTCGCCCAGGCTGGAGTGGCAATGGTGTGATCTCCGCTCACTGCAGCCGCTGCCTCCTGGGTTTCAAGTGATTCTCCTGCCTCAGCTCCTGAGTAGCTGGGATTACAGGAGCCAAACACCACGCCCGGCTAATTTTTGTATTTTCAGTAGAACAGGGTTTCACCATGTTGGCCAGGCTGGTCTTCGAACTCCTGACTCAGGTGATCCGCCAGCCTTGGTCTCCCAAAGTGCTGGGATTACAGGCGTGAGCCACTGCACCCAGCCTGTGAGTTTATTTTATAACCTTATATTTGTGATTTGTTGTGTGTGTGTGTATCATAGTTAGAACAGTGATACCATTTTCAGGAGCACACTAGAAACCTGGGGCCATGGGTGCAGGTTGATGTCCTTACACTAGCCCCAGCTCCTGATTTATTTCAGTATTTTAGTGATAGAGTGATTTCCAGTTGATACAAAGAAGCAGTCAGTTTTTCAAACGCTCACCTTGCAATCTGAGGACCCTCTGCGGTTAAACCCATCCAGAAGTTTGAAGGGGGAAACAGCAGTGGGCATGTATGTGAAATTTGGCTGGCTACCATGGCTGGCCAAGGGTGCTTTGACCAGCAGGGGCACCCAGCACACAACCTGGACCTTGCAGTGAGCTATGATCCTGCCACTGCACTCCAGCCTGGGGCGACAGAGGTATCTGCTGGAAGTGGCTCTGCTTGTACTGGTGTGGAAGTGTGCCAATGAGCGCAGAAAATCAAACAGGCTTTGCAGCGCCTGTGATGCGTTTATAGAAGCACTGGAGTCAGCACAGAAGATGGTGGGGAAGAGAAAGCTTTGTCCTGGTGTCTCTGGCCAACCTCCTAAGCTGATGGATTTGGGGTCTCCAGGGGATCCATGTCTGGTCCATAACAGTGCTTCTCAAAACTCTCCATGGTGAAAGACTAGATGATTGTTTTTAAAATGTTAATCTTTCATGGGCCACATTTTTTAAAATATATGAAAATGTTATAAGAAATTGAAGATATATAAAAAGATAAGCCATTATCTGCTTATTAGACTCGGACAGACATGAGGGTTGCTGTGTCAAATGATAAAACTGTAAACGTTTCTATCCTCTGACTTTGATTCTGTACTTATCTTTCTCAGACAATCACAAAGAGTGCGTAGTGCCAGCCCTGGTCACAGAGTGCACCGTATCCTGTCACTTCTGCGTGTGAGGTGGGTATTTTTTAACTGAGATTTAAAAAAAAAAAAAAAAACGGGGTTAATAGTTTACTTGAAAAAGGGAAGCTGGCAATGAGCATTTGCAGAACACCCAAGCTTCTGGGGAATCGTTGGAAATCCCTCGCCGTCCCACCAGGCCCTGTGCCACAGAAATGCTCCACCTTTCTGCTTTTTCCTCACTTCTCTAGTGGGATCTGAGATTTCAACAAACAACTACAAAAATCCTTTTACATGGAAGATTGAAACCTATATAAAATTAGCCAGAAGAGTATATGGAGACGGGAATTTTGTGTTCTCATCACATAACTTTGTTAGCATCACCTCGTGGGGGTCCTGTTTTGTATGTCCCACTAATCGCTGGGGTGGACTGGAAGCCAAATCCTAGATAGCTTTTTTTTTTTTGAGACAAGGGTTTTCTTGTCATCCCAGGCTGGGGTACAGTGGCATATCATAGGCTCATGATAACCTTTGACTCCTGGACTCAAGCCGTTCCTCCCACCTCAGCCTTCTAACGAGCTGGGACTACAGGTGTGGCCACCTATGTCCAGCTAATAAAATTTTGTAGACATGGGGTTTCAAATGTTGCCCAACTGGTCTTGAACTCCTGGCCCTTCCAAGCAGTCCTCCCACTCCACCTCTGCATCCCAAGGTGCTGAGATAAGGGTGTGAGCCACCACACCCAGCCTTAAATATTTATCTTTAGAAATAGTTAGAAATAGTTGAATTATTCTCTTCTGGTTATTTTGAAATGTATAATAGATTGTTAATACAGTCACCCATACTGACCTGTCAAATACTAGATCTCATTTCTCTTCTGTCTAACTGTTAGATTAGATATTTCTTCTATCTACTGTATATCTTCACCCCCATCCTCCCTTCCCTTCCTGAACTTTGATAACTACCCATCTACTCCCTGTCTTCATGAGGATCCCTTTTTTAGCTCCCCACTATGAGGAGAATGTGGTTTTTGGATTTCTGTGCTTGGCAATAATATTTCATTTAACATCATGACCTCCAGCTCCATCCATGTTGCTGCAAATGAAAGAACTCATTCTTTTTGACAGTTGAATAGTTGTATATGGATCATATTTTTTAAAATCTATTGTCATTAATGGATACTTAGGTTGATTCTATGTCTTGGCTATTTGGGAATAGTGCTGCAGTAAACATGGGTGTGCAGATATCTCTTTGATATATTGACTTCATTTCTTCTATATACCCAGCCCAGTAGTGGGATTGTTGGATTATATGGTGTTTCTATTTTTAGGTGTTTTGAGGCATCTCCATATTGTTTTTCATAGTGGCGTTACTAATTTACATTCCCACAAACAATGTACAGAGGTTCCTGAAAGGGTGAGTTTAAACAACATAACACAGAATCATAGTCACTCTGACAAACAAGTGATTTCTTGACATCCTCACATACGTACTTCAGTGTTCAATGACCAGGGTCCAGTGAAGAACAGTACATTCTCATGGTTGGACCTTGCTCCCTCTCACAAGCCTGTCGGCTTCCCTTTCTCTCTCTCATCTGTCTCTCCTTTATCCATTCTATACTTGGATTTATTGGTTGAAGAACTGCGGTGGGGTTTCCTTGCGCCTGGATTCTGCTGATGATGGAACCTTTGCAAGTTGCTCTGACTTTGGCGTTTCCTGTGAGTTGGTGGATTGATCTAGAAGTGTGATCAGATTCAGGTTTGAACTTTTGGACAAGGATGTTTTGTAGGTTGGTGTTGCATTCTCCCGTTCAGGACCCCTGCTGGACTGTATGGAGAAGTCGGTCTTTTAATTGCCTCCTGTGTGTGAAGTCACCTTGGTGAGTCCCAGCTGACCCTCACCCCATATCTTTTTCTCCTTCCTGCTGGTCTGGCTCCCCCTTGTTTCTGAGATCACCCTGGCTGCTCTGTGGAGAGCTGGTTCTGGGGTGGCCTGAGGAGGCAGCAGTAGTAGCAGGGGACACTGCTAGGACGTTGTGGGGAGGGGTCCAGTGGAGATGATGGGGCCTGATCCAGGTGGTGTCCAAGGGGTGGACAAAACGGGCGGATTCTGCAGCACCAGCCTCATCCTTATGAGAGAAGCTACTACCGCCTAGGCCTCAGCTTCTGTGTCTGCTTTTCCTCCCTGGATACGTGCATCGTTATATACCAGTCCATGACAAGCGTTTATTGAGTGCCTACTGCGTACTGGCTCTGGGGGCTTCCAGCTCTCCCCACTGCTCTCTGGTAAGTGAATGCACATGGTAGGTAAGAACAGCTCTGTGGTTTGGGCTCCTGCAGGGTGGGAGCTTGGTAACTCGTGGCTTCTGAAGCCTGCCCTGTGCCTGGCATTGAGGAAGAGCCTTCAACTCCCCTGGAGAGGGAACAGCAGTTGTCTTTCTCTTGCTGCTATGTTACTGCATAAGAGCGGGGACACCAGTGCCTTCTGTCCCCTCGGCCTGCCCTGGCTGTGCTCTGGCTTACCCACACCCACCTCCCACTTTCACCCGAGGCCCTCTATGCCACAGATCCCACTCACCCAGGCACAGTGCAGCCCGGAGTGCAGGGAGTTCAATCTGGAGCGGAGTGGCCAGTCTTCCTCAGGGGCCAGCCTGAGGCACTGCATCCCCTCACCCCTAGTCTATCAGGTGCTTGACTCTGGGAGGGGCCCCTAAGGGATTCGGGTCTCCCCAGTAGCGACCTCTGTTGCACCCTGCTCCTACCCATGGCTGGGCGCCCGCAGCACCTGCATAGACTGGAATCCACAGACACGCCTGCGAGGGAAAGAAATGGTAGGTGACCCGCGAGGAGCCGTCCCTGGAGGTTGAGTGGCCTGGGCCCCCCACCCCTGTCTGGGGGTTAGAACTCAGGTTTCCAATCTTACATTCTCTCTCTCTCTTTTTTTTTTTTTTTTTTTGAGACAGAGTCTCACTGTGTTGCCCAGGCTGGAGTGCAGTGATGTGATCTTGGCTTATGGCAACCTCTGCCTCCCAGGTTCAAGTGATTCTTTTGCCTGGTCTTGAGTAGCTGAGACTACAAGGGTGCGTGCCACCCGCCCGGCAATTTTTGTATTTTTAGTAGAGATGGGATATCACCATGTTGGACCAGGCTGGTCTTTGGACTCCTGACCTTAGGTGGATCTACCTGCCTCAGCCTCCTAAAGTGCTGGGATTACAGGTGTGAGCCACTGTGCCTGGCCTCCCACCTTACATACACTCTGCTTTTGGGACAAGACCACCGGTGAAGGTTTTAGAAAGTGGGGAACAGCTAGAGAGTGGAGGGTGTGTGCAGAGGGCAGAGGCCTGGAATGTGGAGCACAAAGTTCCCAGGCTGAGGAAGCACCCACTGTGGGGCAGCAGAGGGAGGCAGGAGGGCAGACTCACTCAGAGGAGCCATAGGCATCGGAGGGGCCCGCAGAGGGCCGGCGCCCATGCCTTATCAACAGGAACCCCTGCCCTGGGTTTACACGGTGAGGCCTGCAGAGCTCTGATGCGATGTCAGACTTCAGGGCTCCCCCTTTGGGTTTTTTTTGGCAGCCTGTAGCCTCAGCCCAGCCCATCTGGCCCCCTCTTACCAGGAGGATCCAGAGGGCAGGTGGGCTATGGCCCGAGCAGCCAGGGCACAAGGCCAAGTGGTGTGGGCTCTGTGCACACTGTCCAATATCATTCTCCCAGGTAGCGTTTCCAATTCAGTTGTTAATTGTGTATCAATATGTGGGAGAAGAAATTCCTGGAGATAAAGTTGACACTGAAGAAAATGCCTTTTTTTTTTCCTTTTAGAGACAGGGTTTGCTCTGTTGCCCATGCTGGAGTGCAGTTGGACAGTGCTAGCTCACTGCAGCCTTGAACTCCTGGGCTCAAGTGATTCTCCTGCCTCAGCCTCCTGAGAGCTAGACTACAGGTAACACCACCTGTGCCTGGGTAATTAAAAAAACAAGTTTTTTTTAGAAAAAATTTCTGGGTCTTGCTCTGTTGCCCAGGGCTGGTCTTCAACTCCTCAACTGCAAAGCAATCCTGCCTCAGCCCAGAAGATGCTTTCAAAAAATTGTTTTAAACTTTTTAATTGAGTGCAACATGACATACAGTAGTGTTCCATCGTGTTGGTTTTGATCTGGTGTGTATGCCTGGGTAACCACCACCAGGTTTGGATCCAGAACATTCCCAGGGGGGTGCCTTCTGTTGGTCCTGGCAACAGGGTGTATTTGAGCTTCAGCATTCCCATATCTCAGGCTGCCCAGGTTGGGTTTGCTGTAGGCCGCGTGCATCCTCATCCCCTGCATCGTGTCTCCTCGGCCAGCATGACAGATGGCCAGCCTCAGGCCAGGCTCAGCACACGGTGGGAGCGGGGCGTGGAGCCCTCAGCCAGGGATGTGGGCCTTTCCACAGCTCATCTTCACTATTAGCCTGTTGAGGTCCAGTAAGTGGCACAGAGAAGTCCCAGGATGGATGTGGTCAGTGGTGAAGGAGGTCTTCCCAGGGAAATTCAATGCCCGAGGGAAAGTGAGGAGTGAATAGGTGAAAGGAGGTTAGGACCTGTACCTGGAGGAGGGAACAAGGCAAAGGCCCTGAGGAGGAAGGGAAGGTGGACCAGGCACCTGGAGCCCCGGGAGTGAAGCTCACAGTTGGATGATGGCCACAGAGGCAGGGGCCTGGCCTGATCGGGCTTAGGACAAGAGGGCCTGGGGGGCCATGGGGAAGCTTGTCCCACTGTCTTAGGGAGGTGGGGGGCCTGGGTTGGGGGTGGCATGAGATTCCTGTGGGAGGAGGAGCAGCTGCCAAGTGTTGCTCCCTGTACCACCACTGCCTCTGGGCCCAGCCAGGTCTCATTCTCAAACTGGGATCCTTCCCGCCCTGGGCCACTGCACTGCACTCCCCTCAGCCCACCACAGGGCTGGGTATTCAGATGGTTGTGCTCCTGGGAGTCTCTGCTGGGCTGTAGGAAAGCAGCCAAGCCTTCTCGGCTTGAGACTCCTGGCATGGGAACTTGGTGTCTTGCACCCTTTTGTGTGCTGACTATGAC